GGGCTCCTCGGGCAGCCAGGCCAGGACGGGAGGGCATTCCCCTGACGTGTGTAATTGGGAGTAACTGGGCTCCCTCATCGCCCACCAGTCCAAGGGAGCAACTGGTCAGTGGACAGGGAGTGCGGCTGGAACATCGAAGGCCCGAGTTCTGCGTGGTCAGGTACCACGGCCGGTGGTGCGTCCTCGGTCCCATAGCCACGGGCTGGGCAGCAGCTGGGCCTGGGGCCTTCCCACTTCTAGTTTGTTGCTGTCCTGGGTTTATAGGAAATAGCTTCGGCTTCATGCCCAGCGGAAGTCAGCGCTGAGCCTGCCCGGTTTGGCTCAGGGGTCAGGACGTCCGCCCGGGCACCGAAGTGTCACAGCGCGGGTTCGATTCCGGTCAAGGGCACGTACCTCGGTTGTAGGCTCGATCCCCGGCCCATTCAGGGCGCACGCAGGAGGCGACAAGTCGATGTGTCTCTCTCACATCGATGTTCTCTCTGTCTTTTCCCTTCCCTTCCACTCTCTCTGAAAAAACAAGGGAAATGCCCTCGGTGGGAACTAACAAAATGAGTGAGTGAGTGAGGAGCTGCGGCCTGAGTACGGGCGTTGGAGGATTGTTCTCCTTCGGGAAGGAGGCGGGGAGTGCGTTTCTGCTGCCCCGCAGCTGTGTCCCCCGGACAAGACGTGTAGCTCCGACCCTGAGCCTCCGGGATCTCTGGACCCGGGTGTTAGCGTAAACCTCCCACAGAGACGCGCTGAGTGCATGGCCCGGGGCAGTCACCGTCGGGGACCGTAGGTCGGCACGTGGACAGGAAGCAGCCGCGTTAACCTGGATGGCGTCGGCCAGGGCAGAGCTGTTCACAGCAAGTGGGGGTCCTGTGAGCGGTGAGAGGGGAGAGGTATTCCCAGCTACTCACGCCTCCTAAAAGCGTCGCCCCCCCATGCCCCCACGTGTCCCCCTGCCCTCGGGGAGGGCTGGCGTGGCCTGTGTCCTCGAGTGCAGACACCTGCTGAGTAACTTCCATTTGCATGGGTCTCCCCACCGCTAGTCAGTCACTCGGTGGGATTAGCTGTGACCCTTGGACACAAGGGACAGAGGAGAGGACGCCTGCTAGCTTTGCTAGCTTTCGGGGTTTTCATAATTTCTTAGGGGTTTTTAAAGAATGATTTCTAAAAGTACTTTTTTACTCATTTCAGAAAGGAAGGGAGAGAGAGAGGGAGAGAGAGAGAGAGAGAGAGAGAGAGAAACATCAATGATGAGAGAGAATCCTTGATGGGCTGCTTCCTGCTTGCCCCACACTGGGGATCGATCCCACAACCCGGGCATGTTCCCTGACCGGAATCGAACCGTGACCTCCTGGGTCATAGGTCGATGCCCAGCCACCGGGCCACGCCGCCTGGCAGGGTTTCCTGCATTTCTGAAGCTGCGCTGCTCTCCTGTCTTCTCATGTCAGGTACCTCTCTGTGCGCTTAGTGTCCAAGCTCAGGTATTTCTCTGTAAGAGGTGAGGTCGCCTTGGATTCTAGTCTTAGTTTTAGGAACAGATACGCGGTTATAGGTCATGGAGCTTTCAGGAAGTGAAGATGAAACGAAACGGCCTGTGAAACCAAACTCGAGGCCTGGCTCTTGAAACCAGTATTCCACGGGACAGTTTTTCCCAAACGCAATTTTACACTCAGGGCTCCCTGGGCTGATGGGGGCGTTTAGACTCACTCGTCCTCTGTGGTTCCGAACGGCCGTGCCCGGACGAATGCTGGTGCGGGGGCGGCGTGGGGCGCAGGCTCCCGTGTGCCTGCAAAGGCGGGCACGCTACCGAGCAAACGTCCCCACACAGGGTGGGACTTATGTGTTAATCGTGTTAAACCGAGTGGGAAAAGGACTTAAAGTGACCGCCCCCACATGGAATGTTTCTGGTCTAAAAGGATCTGTTCCAAAGCTGCAGTCATGTTCATCCCTATGAGGATATTTTTCCCTATTGCTTTTCAGGGAGAGAGAGAGAGAGAGAGAGAGATCTAAGCGAGCGAGACTGGTTGCCTCCCGCACTCACCCTGACCAAAGGTGGGGAGCAAACCCACAACCCACGTATGTGCCCTTGACCAGGAATCAAACCCGCGACCCTTGGGTGCTTGGGCCGACGCTGTAACCACTGAGCCACACCGTTCAGGGCAAAGCCATAGATCCTATTTGAGATTCATAAAGAGAGAACTGCCCCCCACCCCCCGAGGAACTTCACGCGGGGGTCTCGCCAAAGGGGTTGGAAGTTCTCTTGCCCCAAAACAACTCTGCCCCAAGGAGTCAATGACCTAAGTGACCACAGACGCCAGAGCTGAGGGGGCTGCAGTGCTGTGGTCACCAAGGGGCTCACTGGTCACACTCACATGGAGCTGAGGTCTCTCCCATCTTGTGGAGCAGCATGACCTCTGGGTGAGGGTGGGCCAGCTCTGTGTGGGAGTGACCAGCTCTGGGGGACAGGGCAGCTCTGTGTGGGGCGTGTCCCTCTCTTGGAGGGCGGGCCCGCTCACAGGCTGTGCCTTGGCCATCGGGAGAGTGGAGGACAGACAGCTGAGTGTGTGGGCCGCGTGCTGAGTGTGGGGTGCGAGCAGGGCTGGGGCCTGTGTCTGCAGTTCGCCTGACATCCCGGAGCAGGGACATGGATCCGAGCTGGCCAGTGCCGTGTACACAGTGGCCACTGCAGCCTGGGGGTCAGCGCCGCCTCCTGACGGGGACACACCTCTTCCCAGGGGCTGCAGGGCGGCCGGAGCACGAACACCTGGTGCGCGTCCGCTCAGGTCTCCGAGGAGATGCGGGAGGCAGGGTCCCCACACCTGCTCGGTGATGTCCGACACCCAGGAGCTCCAGAGCAGACGAGTCATAAATAGCCAAACGCTCCCGTCACACTGCAGAGTCTACAAAACCCACTTCAGATCGGAGAGGAAAGGGTGGTGTGAATGTTGTCCTGAAACCTCAGGGCGCATCTATTTATTTTTATTTTTTTAATCCTCCCTGAGGCTATTTTTCCAGTGAGTTTTAGGGAGAGTGGAAGAGAGAAGGAAAGACAGAGAGAGACAGGGATGTGAGAGAGACACATCGATGGGTTGCCTCCTGCACACGCCCAACCAGGGCCCTGACCAGAGAGGAGCCTGCAACTGAGGTACATGCCCTTGACCGGAATCGAACCCGGGACCCTTCAGTCCGCAGGCCGACGCTCTATCCACTGGGCCAAGCCGGCTATGGCTTCAGGGCGCATTTAGACAGAAGCGGGGATGGTGGGAGCCGTGTGAGAAGTAAATTGAAGGAGCCACTACGGCAGCCACTTCTGCACACGCCCAGGCCAGGCGGGACAAGGTCATGCACATTCGCATCTAACGAGCGTCCGGGCTGGTCTGCAGCTCGGAAGGGAACCGTCTCGGTGTTGCCGACATCGGGGGAAGAATCAATAGAACTTTCACTGCAAATTCTCGGCCATGACAGAGCCGGGGACACCGGTTCAGAGAGTCATTCCCGCCGTGCGCTTCCTGTCCTAGCCGCCCTCCTGGAGGCCACCACCGCCCCGGCAGCCTCGGCCGCTCCCCATGACCACTGCGCCCACTGACGCAGCTCCCACGCCGCCCGGCCACAGTGTGGAGCTGGCGATGATGCAGGGAAGCGCTGTGTGGGGACCCCTCTGTGGGGGGGATCCCTCTGCGGAGTTGCCTTTGAGAAGAAGGGACTGCTAGGGGTGGAACCGTCCACTTGTATAGAACTGACCGCCTTTCTAGCTGCCGCTGAGGAAGCGGACTCCACAGGGAGTGCGTTGACGTGTGGCTTCTCTCTGTTCCTGCAGCAGCAACTGGATAAAGCAAGTCGCTCCCAATGTTTTCATCAGCCGGGCAGGCGACAGGTGTTTGCAGGGGGAAGCCAGTCCTTTACACCAAAGCTAGTCCCTGCCTGGCCTGGGAGACCGGAGCTGGGGCGGGGGGCTATTCCATCAGGGGTTAAGGTGTGACCAAGCCCGGCCGGTGCGGATCAGTGGTTCCCATCAGGGCACAGCCCCGGTTGCAGGCAGCAGCCCCTCCCGGATCCCTGCAGCCCCCCTCCTGCCTGCACCGGAATCCTGACCGACCCACCGAGCACTTCCCTCCCACCATCCGTGCCGGACTCTGCTTCCTGCCCTACCCACGCCCACAGCTGCCTGGGCACCCCAGTCCCGCAGACCACACAGGGAGGTGGGCAAGTCTGTGCCCCATTCCTGGTGAGGGCGTTGGTGAGCGCTGCAGGGTAGCGTGTTGCGGTAACTGGTGACTCGCTGGCCCCTGAAGTGTGTCCGCTGTGGGGGGCTGCACCGTGGGGAAAGCCGAGAGCCAGCGTGGCCTCCGTGTCATGATCTCCCGCGTGACCTTCCTCGTGGCTCCGTCCCTGCGGACGAGCTGGCCTCCCCAGCCCGGCTCTGACGACCAGCCCGTCGCCCAAGGAGGTGGCTTAGTCACATCAGGGGGGATGACGGTACCCCTGTGGCTCCCTCCCGGTTAGCAGCCTCACAGCGAGCTCACGGCGGGGAGGCGGGAGGAAGCATGCTCCTGTCCTGTGTGCCCGGCCTCTTCCGCTCCGAGCGTCGCCTCCGGCCCGGGGCCAGGCAGGCTCCCGCGCACACTCCGCTGTCACATACTTATTGATATCGCATCACATAGTCATTGATTCCAGAGCGGAGGGAGAGGGAGAGAGAGAAGCACCCCTGGTGAGAGGGAATCATGGACCGGCTGCCTCCTGCACGCCCCACACTGGGGATCCAGCCCACAGCCCGGGCCTGTGCCCTTGACCGGGAATCGAACCCGGGACCCTTCAGTCCCCAGTTTGGTGCGCTATCCTCTGAGCCACCGGCCAGGCTGCACCACCTTCGTAAACCAAACTCCTCCCACGGCTGACGAACGAACAGTATCTGAGCGGGTGACATGGGGCTGCCCGTGAGTTTCCCTCCCACGTGGGGGATGGAAAGCTTTCAGCCGGCGGGCGGCTCCCGAGCGGTCAACTCGGAGTTCTGAGCCCGTGGCGGAGGGGCACTGCTGCTCCTCAGAACGGGCGCCCTGGGCACCGCGCGCCCTGTGCCCTCTGTGTCCTCTGTGTCCTCTGTGTCCCGGTCGCGGCTCTCAGCGCGGTCTGTGTTTGTGCCCCGCAGTCCTCGGCAAGATCCGGAGTGCCGTCGGCAGCGCCCAGCTCCTCATGTCCCAGAAGTTCCAGCAGTTTTACTGGCTCTGCCAGCAGAACCTGGTGAGTAGACGCGGCTGCCCTCCGGGTACGGACTGCGTGCTCCTCCTTCCCACGCTCCCCGGGTCTGGCTTGTTAAAGACGCCGTCACTGCGCAGGCTGAGTGCAGAGAGGGCACGGCCCGGCTTTGGAGGGTTCCCATGGGCACCCTAGGCCCAAAGGCTGGGAGACTGGGCGGGGGGACGGGGGCGGGGCCTGCGGGAGACAGGTGCGCCTGGTGCGGTGTGAGGTGGGGCCTTTGCCCCTGGCTGTCCCCCGGGCCCTGGGGAAGGAGAGGAGGCCTGGACTGCTGCTATGGAGAATCTCACGGGCACAGACAAGGAGGTGGCTTCGATGAAAACACACAAACAACCACATTTAAAGAGACTAAGAAAAGATTTTAGAAATAATTTGGGCTCTATATTTTACTAGAGGCCTGGTACATGAAATTCGTGCAAGAGTAGGCCTTCCTTCCCCCAGCTGCCGGCACCGGCTTCCCTCTAGCACCCGGGACCCAGGCTTCCCTCCCAGCCCTGGCTTCATCCAGAAGGTCTTTCGGAAGGTTGTCTGGAAGGACATCTGGTCTAATTAGCATATTATGCTTTTATTGTTATAGATGGTCAGTAGTCAAATGAATATAGCATTGAACTAGATAATTAATACGGTCAACACTAAACTTGGTTCTGATCTTCCTAAAAATCAGAAGGAAAGAAAAGCCATATATTTATATATATAGTGTCCCCCAAAACTGTATACAAACACTGCATAACTGTACAGGCAGTGTTCGTTAAAATACATTTCAGCCCAGCCAGTGTGGCGCAGTGGTTGGATGTTGACCTATGAACCAGGAGGTCACGGTTTGATTCCCAGTCAGAGCACAGGCCCGGGTTGTAGGCTTCATCCCAGTAGGGTGTGTGAAGGAGGCAGCCAATCCATGATTCTCTCTCATCATTGATGTTTCTCTCTCTCTCCCTGCCTCTCCCTTCCTCTCTGAAATCAATGCAAATGTATTTTTAAAAAATAAAATAATATACGTTTCATTTTCAAAATTGAGCTATCAGCTGTTAAAGTGTGTATACATCTTTGGGGACACCCTGTACATGCATATTAACATATATGTTTATGTATACTTAGTTATATACATATTTATATATGCCTACTTTCATGTAAATATTTCTACTTCTAAACATGTTACAGGTACACATGTAAGTACTCACACATCCATGTGTAAGGGCATGCGTGTGTGTCTGGGCACCTGTGTACTTTCTTATCCGACTAAGGAGGTATTCACTGAGTGTATCGGAGGAATGACTGACTGACAGGATTCACATTAGCGTGTGGCCGTCTCATGAGCCAGACATCGATTTCTTTCAGACAAGACGTTCCCATTAACGTGCAAATCGCTCTCGGAGGCCTCCTGCTGCCGGGGGGCCGGGGGAGGGGGTTGCTGTGGTTTGATCGGTTTCGCTGGGCGCTTTAATTTGCAAGGAGACAGTGAATTTACAGGGTGTTCTTAGACATCAAAGCGAGCAGAGCACCCAGAGTTGGCAATCCATCCCTTCTAATTGGATCGTTTAGGATATGTTTTCTCTAATATTTTCCAATTAACCCCGTGAGAGTTCGCCGGGAAATGCCACCGCCTCGCTGGGACATGAGGTGGCAGGAAAGACACGTGAAGGCGCGGAGGCGTGTACTCCCCGTGTTTACAGGCGTGTTCTTGCCTCCCTGTCAGAGCCCTGTTACCCCTCGTGACGGAGTGGCGTCGGTGAGAGCGGGGCCTGTCGCCCTGCCCCCGCCCTGTCTCAGGGGAGACGGCTCTCGCTATAGAGCGGTCATGCTTTCGCCCGCCTGTGCGGCCCATCCAGATCCGATCCTGCGGGCGACCCGGGGGGCCCCCCGTGGGCTCGGACCCGCAGCGCCGGGCCGGCTCGCTTGGTAGAGACGGGAAGTGCCTCACCCTAAGGATCTGACTCTGCCTGGAGCTGCCCACCGTCCTGTGTGTGCGCCCCGGGCTGCCAGCCCCTCTCCGCACACTGGCACAGAGAGATGGGGAGCCGGGCATCGGCGTCCCTGTCGCTGGGACCTCCACCGTCGGAGCGAGGCGCCGTGGGATCTGCGTGGCTACAGTTCCACGGGGACGCTCGGTGGGGTTGGCTTTGCTGGGGCAGGGGCCTGGCCTGGCCCCCATGACATTTATAAACATACGTAAGCACAGGGGGGACCCGAATGTGCACCCCCCGCCCCAGGGCCCCGGGCCTGGCTGAGCCGGTCACCTCGCTCCAAGGGCCCAGAGGGACCAGCCTTGTCGGCCCAGAGCAGCGACAGTGAGGGCGATGTCTGCCCTTGGGGGACGGCCACCTGGACCGCAGGCACCGGGACCGGAGCCCGGCCATGGACGCCGGGACCTGCCAGACATTCAGAAGAGGACCGCCCGCACTCTGAAGTCAGAGGGGACACAGCAAGCTCCCGGGGACTGCAATGAGGACCCAGCGTGTCCGAGGCCGGGAGCCTCCCTGGGACCAGATGGCGGGGTCAGGTGACCGCAGGGACGGCCAGGGCTGCTGTGTCCGTCCTGAGCGGAGGCTAAGCGGACACCCAGGAGTGAGCACCACCGTGCCCAGCTGCTGCCTGCAGCCCTGCGATCAGGGCCTCGAAGGGTGCGGGCGCCCCCTGGTGGTGCAGGACGAGAACAGCCTCACACAGAAAACAAGGCACAACCCAGCCAGGCAGGAGGGGTCGGGGGAAGGGGAGAGGGCGGTGGGCAAGTCCCTCGGGCAGCTGCCCCTCTGGCTGCTTTCCACAGAAAGGGGCTGGGGTCAAAAGTGATCATTTTGGGCCGCGGCCAGTGTTGCTCAGTAGTTAGAGCGTCGGCCCGCACACCTGAGAGCCACGGGTTTGATTCCCAGTCAAGGGCATGTACTTGAGTTGTGGGTTCACTCCCCACCCTCAGTCGGGGCACATGCAAGAGGCAACCAGTCGATGTCTCTCACATCAATGTTTCTCTCTTCGCTTCCACTCTCCCTGAAAAGCAACAGGAAAACATCCTCAGGTGAGGATTAACAGCAAAATAAGGTGATCAGCCCTGGCTGCTGTGGCCCAGTGGATAGAGCGCCAGCCTGCGGACTGAAGGGTCCCGGGTTTGATTCTGGTCAGGGCGCAGGCCCGGGTTGTGGGCTCGATCAGGAGGCACCTGATCAATGACTCTCTCATCATTGATGCTTCTCCCTCTCTCTCTAAAAAAGAAAAAGTGATCAGTGTGACATGGGTATAGACCGAATGTCCCCAAACCATCACCTCGGACCCTACCCCAGTGGGATGGGGGTCGCGAGTGTGGAGCTCAGGGACAGGAACTGTGTCTTCATTAAAACCCCTTCCCCGGCAGAAACGTGTATACTCGTTTTCACAAAATGTTCTTTTTCAGTCGTCGACGAGTATACTAACAAAATATGGTAAAAAAATATGGTTTATAGGAAGACAAGTTACAAACTGTTTTCATAACCAGCATCAAAAATACTATATAGAACCAAAATAAAAAAATTAGTCTGAAAAAGAAACGTTTTTAACAAAAAAATTGTTGGGGAAGGGGTTAAATGGACCCAGAGCTCGCTCCCCGCCCCTCCCCCTGCGAGGCCGGGAGGAAGGGGAGGGCCGTGTATGAACCAGGAAGAGAGAGAGAGAGCTCATGGGACCGGACCAGGTGCCGCCAGCATCTTCCCCTCGGGCTCGGCCTCCACCGAGAATCCCCATCTGTCGTCTGTCGTCTCTCGTGCGTGAGCCGGTCCCGCTGCTTCTGTCCAGCCGCCCACACAGACCAGGCCCCGGGTGAAAGGCAGCTTAAACCGAACCAAACTGCAGGCCCTGCTGTGCTGCCCGCGGCGACACCAAGGAGGCTGAAGGCCACGCTGAAGCCGGTTCCCAGGAACATTTACCCACAGAGCGTCCCGGCTGTTTAACGAGACGGGCCCTCGCCTAATCGGAGCCACGTGCGAATCGCTCGAACCCTTCACCAGGGGCTGCAGACTCGGGCGCCTCCAGGCAGGCCAAGAGCAGGAGGGAGCAGCCTGGGCCTGGGGCTGCGGGCCGGAGGCAGCTGTGGCCCGGCCAGGGGCCAGGGTACGGGTGGGAGCGGCCAGGCGGCCAGCCCTCTGGGAGGGAAGGGCCGGCTTTAACGCAG